GAATGTGAGGTTGGGAATGTAGATGAAGACCCTGAGTGCATAAATCCTCTGAACAGAATGTAAATGGCACAGTCAAGCCTCCTGGAATTCTGAACAATCTGGGGAATCAGAGGTCATTCATTTCAGGGTGAAAGCAGCAGTTGTGAGTGAGTCTGAGAAGAGCCAAAATTTCAAGTACAGGTTTACACTTCTTTAAATGTGTGATACCACCCCATGCCACCACCAAAGTATTAATAAACCACTACGATCCATTGGACACCCTCTACCCTTTGCTCTCATTCCCTTGACTCATAACCACAGTACTATAGTCGTAATCCAAGGGTTTATTGTTGTTTTGTTTCCTCTATTTCTTTGTTTTATTTCTTATCTTCATATGTGTGAAATCATCTGGGGTCTATCTTCTTTTTTATTTTTAAATCTCAATTTAACAATCTTTATTTTTTAAGATTTATTTATTTATACAAGCACTGGGTACAGTCAGAAGCGCGGGAAGGTGAGAGAATTCACCAGAGTCAGAGCGGAGAGCAGAACAGGCAGACTGACGAAGCACACTGCTGAGGGGAGCAGCGGGTGACAGCTTCGCAGCCCAGCTCTCAACCACTGCACCTATATTTCATCTTTTGTTTTTGTTTTATTGATAGTTATTGATTATTTTTTAGTTTTTATATTATTTAATGGTTAATTATAATATTTGAGGGCAATATGTCAAGAGAAGACAGCAGAAATCCATTCAGTAGTTTGAATATACATTTTTTATAATAAGAATAAAATGTAATGATAATGTTGAGAGCTTTCCGAATTATATGGCTGAATTCTAACAAAAATCATATGACGTTTCATTGTAAGATTTGAGGGAAAGAAACCTGGAGAAGTGGTTTGCTTTTCCAAAACCAGTTAGTAGTTTGCAGAATTAGGACTTAAAACAGGATTGTTGAGACATCAAAGCATTTGACTTAACAACCCACTACTAACATTTCCCTACCACTATAAAGCGGCACTGGTCAGTTAAAAAAAATTCCAGAATTATTAATAGCATACATTGTGAGTTGTGATCTTAGCTTTTGTCTTTTCTTCTCAACTCTACATGAAAAATTAGAATAACCACCATGTTTTTTTTTCCAGTAATCCACCTATTTCATAGGTTGGATTAATGGCAAAAGTTCCCATTTTTATCAGTGAGTCTAGTGCCCTGGGAGTTTGAATAACATCTAAGGTCACTAAATGTGTCCCCATTCATGCAGACAATTGAGTTCTGCTCTTTCATGATGAATTAGCTCATGCCTTTGGACAGAGAAGCAATGATATATAGATGTTCAGTCTTCCAAAAGTGAATTACCATGGCCTTCCACCATGACTGATGATAAACCATCAGTATTTCCTTTATATAAGACTCTCTCTCTCTCCTTTAATGACAGTGGGTTTTGGACATCACTGTTTTGTGACATGCCGTGTATTACAGAACCAGTTATTCAGGATGGAGTTTTTTCCCTTCTCTCTTCTGGTTCCAGATGGCTTCCATAATTGTTTTATTAACTTTGCAGATGTTGTAGGAAAATTTTAGGACATAAGCCAATAATGGATCACAGCAACTAATGAAAGAAAGCTTTTGAAATGGATTATTTACTGTAAGAAAACATCTATATTATGCATGTCAATGCTGGCAATATGGATCTTGAGCCCAGAGGATCTGATATTTTAAGAAGCTGGTCAGTAAGATCAAGTAATGCTATCTCTTAGTAGACTAGAACTTGTAAGTAATGGATTTACTAGTCAAAAATCAGATCTTCCTTTCAGATTCTCTAGAGAAAATTTGTGTAATTAAAATTAAAATCCCCTGTATTTTTATACCATTTTCCCCATCTATTAGTGTTTTGGCAACATTCCTGAGAGGAAATAGAAACAGCTAACAATATGCCCATATTTCTGCTTAGTAAGCTGAGCCTGAAGTGAAGCAATGTGACTGCTCAGGACAGCTCTCCAGTGATGGAAGAACCTGGATCTGGCAATCCTGTCTAGTGCCTTTTATTATGTATTGTGCTTATTTACTTATTTATTATGTTTCCTCTCATGGATGCAGAATCTGTGACTGATGTACAGGAAATGGATATTTCTTTTCCCATGTAGGACCCTTTCCAACCTAAGATCTAGCAGAAAATCAAAGGTATTTATCTTTGTACATTTCTTTTTTGGATGACCCTACATCAATGAGAGACTGAGGCCGTCAGCTATCCTAACTGTAGTTAGTATAGGGAGCTGTGGAAAGACCCTGGTGAAGCTGGGGACATTACGTCTCTAAATTTTCATGAGACTTCTTTACCCATGGAAGATGATTTCCCACCCCTATGGGAAGTGGCCTCCTCATGCCCAACAGAAGTAAACTTCCTCTCTCAGTGGTATTGACCTTTCCACTTCAATTCATGTCATCCTTTCCAACTCTATTAGCATTGCCCCAGGAAACTGTAAAAGCCTCCACTGAGGCACTTGCTCTGCAAGACAATGCTGGTCTCTTCAAGACCCAGCCCAGACACCTCTTTGCTTCTTGACCTACATTTAGACTCAACTCCCTATAAGGCCTTATCAGTGAGGTACAATGTGTGACCTAACACAATTTAGGGGAGACTTTTGATAGTTCAGAAGCAGAAATACATTTGTTCCTAATTTCTAAATCTCTTTAAAGGATCAGTGATGAGTTGTATTCTCCAGAGAAATGCACGTTTGTTTGGGGGTGGACTTTCTGTTCCATCCACATGTGTGTGTCCACCCTCTGTCAATGACACACAGTCTTAGTTACTGCAGTTGTATAATAGTCTTTGCACACTTTTGCCAGACTTTTTACCTTCACTTGTTATATATCCCATGATATATTGTTTTAAACCAGTGTGACAATTAATTTGTGTGTCAATTTGCCTGGCCACCGGGTGCTCAGATTAAGTGTTCCTGAGATGAGGTCAGGTTTACAGAGAAGTGCACTCCCAGTGTTCTTTGAGGACACTGGGGCTGCTCTCACAAATTTACTTCTCACAGTCTTGTTAAAGATATCTTCTGAAACATTCCAGTGTCTTTCCCATTTGTCAGTAGATGATAACATCATTCTAACATTCCAATATTTTTAAGCCTTTGAATCCCTTACTCTTCATGAAACTAAAGTATTTCTGGCATTTCCCAATGTACATGTGGAAGACCATCTTTTGGTCTATGTGTCAGCCAACCAACAAAACATGTTTCTCCATGCATATTATTTTTTATTTTCTTCAAATATTCCCAAGTTTTTGTTTTCTGTATCTTATTTTTTATCATGTTGACTATTACCTAATTGTATGTTTTGTGTCATTTTTATCAACTCTTATTTGCGTTATCAAGACTTCTTTGTCTATATTTCATTATCTTTCAATAATTTGTAGAAATTCTCAGCTATTATCCATCTCATTTTTTTTCCTGACCTAGTTCTCTCCCTCCTCCTCCTGTGATTTCAATGACATTTGTGTTAGAACTTTTGATATTGTCTCATAGTTCTTACAATTTGTCATATTTTTAAGACTGTTTTAGATTTGATAATTTGTACTAATCTCTCTCCAATTTCACAGATCATTTCCATTGTCATGTCCAATCTGCTGATGAATTCATTGAAAGATTTCTTCATTGCCTATAATTTTTAAAATTATATTAATTCACTTTGACTCTATTTTAGACTATCCATGTTTCTGTTGAAATTTCGCATTTGTTTATGAATGGTGTACACCATTTTCTCAAGATCTTTAAATGCATTGATAATAATTATTTTAAAATCCCATTTAATCCTCACAACCTAAAAGCCATCTTTGATTCTGATTTTATGAATTGCTCTATTTGCTGATGATGTTTCATTTTGTCTCCTCGCTTTTTGGTGTTTTAGCATATTTGATTAGTTCTGGACAATGAACCAAGAAGAACAGTAGAAACAATGTCAATAATATTTGTGCACACCATTCTTTTTCCATAAAAATGTTAGTGGGGCCTCCTCAGTGGCGCAGCAGTTGAGCGCTGGGCTGCGAAGGTGCCTGCAGCCTCTGCAGTGCCAGCTCGCTCCCAGGCCGCTGGCGAGGGTCCCACATGGCGCGCAGACCTCTCCTGCTGTGCCTGCTGCTCCCCTCAGCAGTGTACTTTGTCAGTCTGCCTGTTCTGCTCCCCACTTTGGCTCTGGTGAATTCTCTCACCCTCCCGTGCTTCTGACCATACCCAGTGCTTGTATAAATAAATCTTAAAAAATATATATATTAGTGTTCAGGGCCTCCCTGGTGGCCTAGGGTTTAAGTCCCAGTGCTATTACCTCCATAGCCTGAGTTCCATCCCTGCAAGGTTGCTAATACACATATGGTACAATAGACCTCTCCTGTCTTGTCCGCTGCTCCCCTTAGCAGTATATTTCAATAGATCTGCCTGTTCTGCTCCCTACTCTGTCTCTGGTGAATCTTCTCACCCCCTGCATCTCTGGCTTATAACCCAGTTCTTCTAGCAAAAAAACAAAAAGTATAGTGTAGAGATTTGTGCCAGTCTAGAAGGAAGTTGAACCAGCTCTTGGATGACATTTGATCTTGCTTTTATTATGACTACTAGTAACAGTATTTTTTCCTGTTGTTCTTTTTTCAGGTTCCTTTATTTTAAAAATACCATATATATTTTAAAAATTTTTAAAAATTTTTTTACATCGTTGTTCATTTTTATACAACATTTGCTTTCCCCCACCCCCTCAGGTGTAGTCCCCATGGAATTTCCTTATATTTCCAGTTCTACCCCTCTGACCAGAAGTCTGGATTCAATTCTAACAAAAAGTACATAATTTTTGTATAAATTGGGTCAAGTTTTTTCTTTATCTTTGTGCTTTGATTGTGCTACTGGGGATAAATATGGTGACAATATTGAACTATGTTTTGAATTTCATCAGAACACCGTTGGAATTAGTGAGGTCATAAACCAGATTCTATTCAATAGTAACCGCAAGCCATTTTTATTTTATGCATTATAATACTCTCACAGTCCTCAGCTGTATTACCTGTAGTTCTAAAATTATCAAAAAAGAAAGGGTTTTACTTTATGATTTTTTTGGTCAAAATTAGAAGATCACATCGTTGATTTTTATTGTATTTTTAATTGAGGTAATGGTGTTTTACAGAACTGTCTGATTTAAATGTGTAGATTCATACCTTTTCAGATGTAGTTCCCATACCTTTACCCACCACAAAAGCAGGAAATGGTTTGAGAATTTATTCAAATATTTACTATGTGTCAAGTAATATACTAAGGTTTCAGATGCATTACCTCATTTAATCTCGGCAAAAATTTTACCTGGTAGAACCTGCAATCATCCCTACACATTTTATGAGGAACTAAGACCAAGAGCACTTAAATAACCTGTCCAAGGGAATATTGTTATGATGCATTGAAGGTAAGAGTCAATTCCTAGAAATCTGAATGCAGCTACTATGCTAATGAGAACTCTGCTTTGTGGGGCTGAGAATAAAAGCTTGATTTGAATGCAATGTACTGTTACTTCTCAAATACACATGGTAAAATTAATGGCAGGTTAAGCTCTTTTTGATACCTCATCTATGTTTAGGTAATCTTGTCCTATTTTAATGAGTTCTTAGGATACATAAAAGAAATTTAATATTAGCTTAAATCAACTGTAATTAGTTGAGTAAATCAATGACTTAAAAACAAAGAAACAAAAAAAATAAGCCCTAAAAATACATTATACTGAGCAGACATCAGCAAGATGGTGAACTAGGAAGCTATAACCTTTTCTTCTCCAAAAGAGAAACCCAGTTAGCGACATTATATGAAGTAAAGCATCTGTTAAAGCTCTACAGGTGAACTAAGAAGCTGGTAACACCCAAGCCATTGTAAGACTAAGAAGGTATTCCAGTGAAAGGGGTAGAAAAACATGCTGTTTTTGGCACCCGTAACCATGCCTTCCCCTTCTGCAACACAGTGCAAAACAATAAGGAGGAAATTCCATTCTGTAGCTTACCCCTCAATGTAGAAATGGGAGCATGAACCTCAGATCCCAAATGGTCTCTTTAACTGGGAGGATGCCTGAGGGACTGGCTTCAGTCTCACCTGAATCAGACCCTTAATGGGATGACCCCAGTTTGGAAACAAAAGAAAAAAAAAGAGGTGAACACCATGTTGGTGCTGCAGTTCTGCAGGCAGATGCTAGGGGAAGAGATCAGAAAACGTAAGAGGTTCCAGATGGTCTAATGGGTGAAGGAGTTTCCCTGCACAAAGACTTGTCCAGGACTAGTCTTCACTAAATTAGGAATGCAACAAATTGCATCATTTTGTGTGCTCATCTGCCTGTTTCTATTGCTTTTACTGTGCTTCATCTTTCCTGACGTTGCTTCTCATCTTCTCTTGGAGTTCCCTGGACCTTGCTCCTCTGTTCCAATGTATGTTTTTCATATATCTCTATCTATCTCTATCTATCTATCTATCTATCTATCTCTCTCTCTCTCTCTCTCTCTCTCTCTCTCTCTCTCTCTCTCTCTCTCTCTGTGTGTGTGTATATATATATATATATATATATATATATATATATATCTCAAAGACTTAATTAGATGTGGTTAAAAAAAAAAGTTTTCCCAACTCTTATGGAAACATTTCAGGAAACTGAATTTTAGTTATGACATAGCTTGGGTATACTAAACTTCCTGTCGATACTATTGTAAAACTAGATATAAAAAATATGGAATTTCTGGAGATCAAAATTCGGGATACAGTGGAGAGAAAACAACACTTGGAAAACAAACTGCAAAGGATGAGATTTGTAACACTGCCTGCTGGGCATTCACAGATCCACTGGAAACTAGGACAGATACAAGATTTATAAGGATAGCAGCAAATTAAAGGAAAATTCCTGGAAAGAAGGGATCCACAGAGGAGTGGACCCCTCAAACGTGCGTATAATATACTCACAAAAACATGCCTGACCATTAAACTATAGATGCAACCAATTAGATTCTAGAGGCTCTGATACAAAAGCTGGAAGCTCATGAAAGTGAGAATTTTAGCTACAGACCCCTGCAGGAGAGGCCATTTTGGATTTTATTTTCTTTTTCAAAAGATTTATTTATTTATGCTTACAAGAGCTAGGGTGCAGGCCAGAAATGTGGGGGTTGAGAGGATTCACCAGAGACAGAGTGGGGAGCAGAACAGGCAGATCTACTGAAATACACTGCTGAGGGGAGCAGTGGGCGAGACAGAAGATGCCTACTGTGCCCTTTGGGTCATCTCCCTGGCCGGGGATTGAAATCATGCTGCAGTGGCTGTGGATAGCTTCATAGTTCTGCATCTTAACCCTTTGCGCCACCAGGGAAGCCCCTGTTTTGAATTTTAATATAAGTTAACTGCTTTATAGATAACGATAATCTTCAAAGAAACCTAACAGGAAAAATCAAGGTGTTAAGAGAGAAAATAAAATGTGTGTTGTGGAGCAGGACATTTCGGTAGCTGATTTAATTCAACAGTGATCAGAGATGACTGAGATGACTGCCTTTGAAGCTAAGATGCATAATATGGGAAGAAGGCTGCCAAGTACAAACTGAGAAATTGTTCAAAGGTGAAGAACAATGGCCAGGGGTATAGTGTATCTAAAAGAACATAAAAACTTTCTCAACCAGTAAACCAAAAAGTGTTACTAGTGACCTAGCTTGTAGCAGAAATATTGAGTCTCAATAAAATCATTGGAGGGAAGAGGATAAGAATTAAATTGAATCCGGTTTGTATCTGAACGTTGAGTCTTCTTCCAGTAAGTTAGCAATTCTGCAGTTTGTTTGAACAAGATGGCTTCAGTGACCATACATCTGAACTCCTTTAACATTCAAAATCCTTACTAATGCTTGATATTTATGATGCATTTTTTGAATATTAGTAATTTTCTTTGGTCTCTAGTTTATATCCCCTTCTAAGTCCTAAGCTTCTTGGTCCCCACCGTGTGTAGCCCAGACCCAGCATTTCTCAGTCTGCCCTGTGTTGGAAGCATCTTTGGTAATTGAAATTTCTGGAATGTGAGACTGTGTCCACTTTGTCCTGGTGTGATCTGGACTGATGGTCTTAGCAACCATTTTTCTTTATAGGTTTTCAATTATAGCCGAATAATAACCCAATGCATCTTCATATTATAATCTCACTACAGTCTTTTGAGACTAAATGGATCGATAAAGGAAGAATATCTCAGAAAAGGTTAAATGATTTGTCCAAGGTCATACTGTTAATCAGCATTCCCTCAACACTTTAAGGCTGAGCAGTTGGCAGTTGCAAAAGTAACAGCGTGTGATGGGACACAACACTCTTCAATTTTGTGTGCTACAATCCTTTTCAAACTAATGAAAGAGCTTTGACTTGGTAATAAGAAGATAACTTTTAGTGTGCACTTATTGCATGACAGGTATGGGTTCCTTCATAGATGTCTCAGTTCATTTCCACAATAGGTGATTTTATCATTACTGTTTACAAGAGAGAAGTTCTAGAGAAACTTATTCCAGGACATAGAGTTAGAAGATGTAGTGGCAAGACTGAAACTCATGTCTGTCTGGCTGCCAGGTCCATTCACCTAACCATTATGCTGTAAGTCTTTTCCTAATAAACCCCACTTACTGTCCTATAAGAAGCAAGCATAACTCTGGTTTTTGTGGAGGTGGAAAACAGAGATTCTGAGTCCTCACCTTCAGATGGTGATGACAAATAAGCTGAGCCCTGCGGACTGAGATACAATGGCTGTTATTGGTAGCAAATTGGGATTGTTCTCACTCACTTTCAGTGCTGCAACTTTGTTTTCATAGCACTCATGTCTTCCTCTCCATCTTCCCCAGTGCATTTCCCATCTCTCAATTATGACTTGCAGAAAAACATTTCCTGCTCTTAATGGATTATTTTGAAGGCCCCCTACTTTCTCCTCTTTTTGTATATATCTCCATCCAAGCATCATGCTCTTTTTCCCATTTGCTGTTTTTTTTTCTGTACTTTTTAATGTTCATCATCTAAATTGTAATGACTAATTATTCTGTAATTAGGCACTTGGATATTTGATTTTCTTGGCCCATGGGATATCCTAGTCAGAACTTAGAATCAATTTGTATAATTTGCCTTTCACATTCTCATTTAATCACTTTGAGTTATTAAAGGATACAGTTACATAATGACATTATGAGACTTATTTTTCATATGGAGCCCATTGTCCTTCTTCAGCAATTAATATTGTAAAGATTTGTAGGAGAGAGGGCTCTGATGAAATTCATATTTATTGACTAATGAGCTCTTCTGTCTCACTGAATTGTATGCATCTGGACAAATCATTTACTTCTGAAGATGAGTTTTGTGATCCATCATGTTGTTCTGACTCACTGTTAAAGTTTGTGTCAGAGTCACAAGAAAACTATTCTTGTCATAATGCAACCTATATCTGGGAGGAAATACAGCATGATGGTGCTCATCATTCATGCTGAATATTTATTAATTCCTATGTGCCAGGCTGCATAAGAGATTCTGCAGTTAGCCTCCCATTTGAGACTTCGAGATGTTTCGTTACTCAAAGTCACAGATATTTTCAAATGAGAAGAGCAAATAAAAAAATCCTACATTAATAGAGCATATTGTCTAAATAAAGATAAAGAGATGCATATTTTCATGTGCCTTCAGCCCTGGGATTTATGATGTTGAATGAGAAATAGAGAAATTCATGCTTTGAGTCTTGGTTTATTTATATGTATAATGAAAGCTTATGTGCCAAGGACTCTATAAACTAAAGCAGTCTCTGTCCATAAAGTACCCACATAGGTTATGCCTCTTCTTGGTTTTTACCACCAACTCACAACATATTTATACTACCCTTAATATCTCTGGTTTTGCTCTTTGTTTGATTTTTCTTTTGCATTTCCTTTTTATGATGACCATGAATGGCTGTTGGGAGCATTGTGAGGTGGTCAGCCTGCTGCTGTGTTATCAGGTATTCTAGGCATGTTCTCTTAGGTGTCTCAACTAGCCCTGCTTCCCCTACCTTGTCAGATTGCTGCCACCTTGCTTCAGGGCTGCCATTCTCACAGATGGGTCCAAGATAATGAAGTCAAAAAAATCAAATGTGATCACCAGACATTGTTTATTGACAGGTGTTTCCAGAAATGGAAGTTACTTTAAGAAGCATTTTCCCATAAAGGAAAGCACAGAGTTCATCTAAGTTATAAACAGTTGCTAAAGCTCATGAAATTCTGCTGTGGTTTCTGCACATTTAAAAAAAATCAAAGCTGGGGTCTCCCCGGTGGCACAGCGGTTGAGTGCTGGGTTGCGAAGATGCCTGCAGCCTCTGCAGCAATGGTTCGATCCTCGGCTGCTCCCCAGCCACCAGAGGAGAGTCCCACATGGTGCACAGACCCCTCCTGCCGCCCGCTGCTCCCCTCAGCAGTGTCCTTTGGTCCTTCTGCCTGCTCTGCTCCCCGCTCGGCTCTGGTAAATTCTCTTACCCTCCCGCGCTTCTGACTGTACCCAGTGCATGTATAAACAAACAAACAAACAAACAAATAAATAAATAAATACATGCCTCTTAAAAAAAAAGCTTATGCTGCTTGGAAAAAAAGTAGGTGCTCAAGAAAAGTTTGTTGAATGAATGAACGTCACAAAATTTTCATCTGTACAGCAGCATAAGGCAAAGGCAGTTTGTGATATTGTGATTAATGGTAAATAATATTTAGTCTTAGTTCCTGTTTCTAGAAAAGCATCCTAACCCCTCAGAATTTCCTAAGTGACCCATAAAGATGTCTCTTCATATGGTAATGAGTGAATGCCTCTAGGATGCAGGTGGGGTAGGGGTGATCATCACAGGGACCAGCCAGTGATTAGAAGGGTAAAACTTTAACTTTTTCCCCCACTCCCAACTTCCTGGTAGACAAAACAGTTGGAGGCTGTGTTCCGTCACCATTGAACAGGGATTTAGTAAATCATGCCTATGAAATGAAATCCCCCAAAACAGCCAAAATCTCCATGTGCAGAATTACAGGATGATGAACACATGGAGGTTTAGAGAGTGGCACACTCACCTGAGAGGCTATGAAGGCTCCTAACCCTTTCCCCTGAACCTGCCCAGTGCTTTTCCATCTTACTATTGCTGACATCCGGCCTTTTATAATAAATCAATCTAGTAAGTAAAATAAAAGGAATATTTTGTTAAATAGAATGATTAGACTGGTACAAATATAAGCATCTGGAAAGGTTAGGAATATAAGCAACCTTTGAGGGAAATGACAATTTTGTCTTGAATTAATATTCAGGGGAGAACACACTGAAAATGTATAAAGGTAACCCTTTAATTTTACTCTAAGGGAGAATTTCGATGGCTGGTTGTTCAAAAATGCAGGTCATGATTTATAATGAAAACTACCATAAAAAGATTAGAGTTAGCAGATTGATATTGATCCATTTAATGGGTAGTAGCAAACTTATTTCTTTTCATCAGCTTTGCATTTGCACATTTATCTGTTTCAGAGGCCAATCTAATAAAGTCTCTCACTTGACATTACCTTCCTATGTCCTGCAGTATTTGCTTTAGTTGGATTAAACCCTGATTGTTGCTACAATTTCCTGAGGGCATTGGTATACTTGCCACTGCAGAATGATTTCTTTCACAAGACTTCTTTTTCTTTGTTCCTTTAGAGACCAGTATCCATTCCACAGTGAAAAGCCTGGGTTTGCAAGCATGAAGATAACCAAGGCATCTGATGGGACTGTCACCCGATAACACCTGCTATGCTTAAGTAACTTTCCAATTATGTGACCCTATTCAAAATTATGATGAGGGACCTGAATGAAATTTTCTTCAGCTATCTCTCCACTTCCAAGTAGAAGTTATAATCTTTGAATGAACCATAAAATGAATCTTTTGGTAAGACAAACATTGAGGCCTCTCTTTTTGAAAGATACTGAGCTTTAGAAAATACAAAGACTTCCAATTTCCAATTATATGTGAAAAGTCATTAAAAATGAAACCATTATGCATGTTTATAATTTTCCAGGCTTTGCAGCCATAAATCTGTTTCTGATTTATCAAATGAAGGTTTCAAAACCTTTTCCATAACCAAAATAAAATAGAATAGTAAAATAGTTTAATTCACCCATATCTTTTCTTTTTTCCACTTCCCTGGGCTCCACACTGGTTGGTCTACTTCAACACCATCAGGCACACTTGAGAGGCTGCCCAGCACAGGTATTCCTAATGCAAACTCTCGAGACAGGTCATCTGTTTAAATCCCAAATCTGCTTCTAAGTGTTGTCTGTGTCTTATTGCCATTAAATGTAGACTGAAGACAGTACTTGCTTAAAGGATTGTTGTTAGGGTTCAATGAGAAGAAAAGTGTATTTAAGGGTCACTTAATCACAGTGTCAGCTATTATTGATATCCTGCCTTTATGTATTTGATAGCCATCTGTTGATTTGCCACCTAAGCTTCCTCCTCCTACTTTGGTAATAATTATTTTAATTTCCTTAAAAATCTTCCACTTAGTGTGGTTTTGTTAAACCTTTTTTTTAAAGATTTATTCATGCATACAAGAACTGGGGTGTAGGCCAGATGCGCGGGAGGGTGAGAGGATTCACCAGAGATGGAGCGGGGAACAGAAAAAGCAGACTGATGAAATACACTGCTGAGGGGAGCAGTGGGCGAGATAGGAGAGGTCTGCCGTGCCACGTGGGATTCTCTCCGGCCAGCCAGGATCAAATGGGCACTGCAGAGGCTACTGACAGCTTCACAGTGCTGTGCTCAACCGCCTGCACCACCAGGGGAGGCCCTAAACTTTTACTCAAAGTAAAAGGCTTGTCTTGCCAAAATCAAGGAATGAGCATGGGGGACCGCCTACATTAATCAGGACTTCAGTCCATGTAATTCGTTGTTCTACCAGGGCCCGCTACCTGAGGCCCACTACCTGAAGCCAATATTCATGGTACCCAAACCAAGTCAAAGCTTACCAAACAAAATTAAACAAACAACAACAAAAAAAACTAGACATATTTTTATTGAAATTGCTAAAAATGAAAGACAGAGAAATCTTGAAGGGAGCCAGAAATAAATTATTTACTGAAAACCAATGATAAATATTCCCAGAATACTTTTCATCTGAGGATAATGAAGTGGTATCTGTATACTTGGATTTTTATGCCTAGGGAAATATTTTTCAAAAATGAAGGGTAACTAAAGACCTTTTCAGACTAAGGTTGGAATAAGTAAATGCCCACAGAATTGTACTGTAATAAATATTAAAATAACCATAAAGGAGCATAACTAATTAATGAAATAAAGAGATGTAAGGAAGGATGTAATTGCAAACATAATTTTTTAAAGGTTTATTTATTTATGCATACAAGGACTGGGGTACAGGGCAGAGATGTGGAGGGTGAGAGGATTCACCAGACAGAGTCGGAAGTAGAACAGGCAGACTGACTGAAACACACTGTTAAGGGGAGCAGTGGGCAAGACAGGAGCAGCCTGCTGCACCATGTGGGTTACTCCCTGGCTGGCTGGAGATCCAACTCATGCTGTAGAGGCTGCAGATTGCTTCATAGTGCTGTGCTTAACCCCTTGCACTGACAGGGAGGCCCGAACACATAATTTTTTTTATTTTCTCATTAATGTCTAAAATAAAAACAATGGCAGTAGTAGATTATGTGTTTATACCAAACTAAAGTGTATGACCAAAATACAACAGAGAACAAAATGGAGAAATTGCAAGTATAATACTATAAGGTCCATATAATAAACATAAAACCAGATAATACTTGAATATTATAGTAGTAATATAATAGGTAATAGTAGATAATTAGCAGCATAGGTTATAAAACCTAGGGAACATATTCAAAAAATCAAAGAGGTATAAATGTAAGCCAATATCAGGGTTTTATGAAATTGTAAAATATATATGAATAATTTAAAAAAATCAACAAACCAAAAAAACAAGCTAAATGAAAGTAGCTAATAAAATAATCAATTTTAAAATTATGTTAACCATCAATGGTTTAAAACTCTGTTTAAAAGACAGAGATTGTCAAAGTGGGTTGAAAAAGCAAGCACTAACCACAATGAGATACCTCTGTAAACCTGTCAGAATGACTAGTATCAAAAATGGAAACCACCAAATGCTGATAAGAATGTCAAATAAAGAGAACTTTCAAAATATGAAACAGTGCAGCCACTCTCAATAACAGTTTGGTTGCTTCTTACAAAACTAAACAACTGACCACTTGATCCAGCAATCACACTCCTTTGTATGTACACACACACACACACACACACACACAATCCTGCACATGAATATTTATAGCAGATTTACTCATAGCTTCTCAATGTTGGAGGCAATCAAGATGTCCTAAGATGAGTGGGTAAGCGAACTGTGGTACATCTGTAAAATGGACTATTATTGAACAATAAATAGAAAATAATATAATTTCGGAGAAAGAAATAGCTGTCGAGTTAGGGAAAGATATGGAGAACACCAAAATATGCATTATTAAGTAAAATAAGTCAATATGAAAAGGTTGTATAATATATGGCTTAAATTATATGACATTCTAGAAAAGGAAATGTCATTTTTATACATACCATTAAAAAATAGTGATTTCCAAAGATTGGGTGGCAGAGAGATATAAATGTAAGCCAATATCATGATTATATGAAACAAGGGGACATTTACCACAGTGAATCTCCTCTGTGTGATGGTGTAATTGTGGCTACGTCATTATACCTTTGTCAAAATTCATAGATAGTGTAATACAAACAGTGATCACTAATACAAACTATGGGATTAGGTAATAAAAATGCATCAGTAGTAGCTCCTAAAATCACTGCTGTCAGATTTTAATAATAGGGGAGATGGGGAAGGATTAAGGAAAGAGGGTTTGCATGAAAACTCTAATTTTGAATAAATATTTTTTTCTGTAATCTTAAATCTGCTCTAGCAGTAGTCTATTATTTTTTTTTAACAAAAGCAAATCTAACTATATGTTAGTTACAAGATACCTGGATTGAATATGAAGGCATAAACAGACTAAAAATAAAAATGCTGGAATTAGATACACCATGATGAAAGCACTAATCAAAAGAAAACTGGTGTGTCTATACAGATAGCAGCCGAGACTGAAGTCAGAACAAAACATATAACCAAGGATTAAAGGGGTGTCATATAATAACAATTTGAGTCCAGTAACCTGACATAATAATCCTAAATAGGTATACACCTAACAACAGAATTTCAAAATGCATGAAGCAAAAATAAATCTGAAAGGAAAAAAATGGCAGATGCAAAATTTAGTTGGAAATTTCAACACTCAACACTATATATTCCTTTTTTTTTTATTATAGAGGCATGTTTTATTTATTTGTTTGTTTGTTTTGTTTTGTTTATACATGCACTGGGTACAGTCAGAAGCGCGGGAGGGTGAGAGAATTCACCAGAGCCAGAGCGGGGAGCAGAGCAGGCAGAAGGACCGAAGTACACTGCTGAGGGGAGCAGCGGGCGGCAGGAGAGGTCTGCGCGCCATGTGGGATCCTCCTCCAGTGGCCGGGGAGCAGCCGGGGATGGAACCGGCGCTGCAGAGGCTGTGGGCAGCTTCGCAACCCAGCGCTCAACCGCTGCGCCACCGGGGAGGCCCTCAACACTATATATTCAATGATCAATGAAACAAATAGAAAACTACTAAGAATATAGAAGACTTCAGCACCATTATCAATGAATGTGAATTCATAGACGTTTATAGAATTTTTCATCCAAGAGTAAAACACTCATTTTGTTGAAGTACACAAGGAAAATTCACCACGATAGATATTATTGGGGCAAAAATTCAGCAATTTTTTCTATACAAAGCAAAAGAATAGATACTTTAGTCTGTGAGTCATAGCATCTTTCTTACCACAACTCATCTTTCTAATGTCATATTAAAGCGCCTCTGGAGAGCACAGAAACTATTAATTTTTTATGAAGTTGAGCATATGCTTGTTATAAATGCAATAATCTCACATCCTCCTAGATATTTATTCACATGAAATAAGTTATGTTTGCACACAAATCTGTACTCAAATATTAATACTTTATTTCTGTATAATCACTAAAGCTGGAAAAAAATCCAGATATCACAAGTAGGGAATGAGTTAACACGCTATGACATGTCCCGTCATGCGGGAGACCACAACAAAGAGAAGGAACAAACTGCCATTACAGATAACACATGAATGAGTCATAAACACGCTGTGCTAAGCTGAAAGGCACAAACTTAAAATATGTCACATGCAATGTGATTGCATGTACATCACATTCCGGAAAAGACAGCACCCTGGGGACTGATGTCAAGTCCATGACAACCAAGGGCTGGGTGTGGGGGATGGTCAGGTACAAAGGGCCATTGGAGCAGTAATAGAACTGTTTTCTATCTTTGTGGTGCCAGTGAGTATATCATTATATCAGTGAATTTGTTTTTAAAACTCATTAGACCTAAATGCTATTTCTCAGTAAACTTTACTGATATAAATGCTGTTTTCTTCTAGAGTTTCCCTGAGAAGAACATAAGGACTGGCATCGTGAGTGAGGAAATTGTGAGTTGCCTTTCTATCCACCTTCAATACATTTTTTAAATTTTTTTAAAGATTTATTTATGCATACAAGAGTTGGGGTGCAGGCCAGAGATGCAGTGGGTGAAAGGATTCACCAGAGACAGAGTAGGGAGCAAAACAGGCAGACCTACTGAAATACACTGCTAAGGGGAGCAGCACACAAGACAGGAGAGGTCTGGTGCATCATGTGGGTAGCTCCCTGGCTGGGGATTGAACTCGTGCTGCAGTGGCTGCGGATAGCTTCATAGGTTGCATCTTAACCCCTTGTGCCACCAGGAAGGCCCCGCCTCCAATACATATTAATTCAACAAAGAAAATCCCTTTGTGTCTGTTTTATAAACTAGCGTTCTTTTTAAAAAAAAAATCTAACTTAAATGACAGTACATTGGTATGTATTAGATTATAGTTTATAAGAGAGCAGACTCAGTTTACCAATATGCCAGGATCTCATTAACTCTCAACAACTTCAGAGAATTTTCTGTGAGAAGCTACTTCTACTGGTTGTCATTTTTTTTATATGGACTATTATGTGACCTCCTCTTCTTTCTCTGGATTTGCAGTGTTATTTCTCAAATCCATCCCACATGAATAATCATACACTATTTAAAAGGGAAGCTTAGTTGTGTATTGACATGGCTGCCTCTCTAGCTCCCTGTATTCCAAAATACGCATCCTAAAGATATTTTGAAGGTGTCTTTGGGATTGTCCCCTCTCTTCTCCTTCCCTGAATGCACTAATTTCAACAGAGAAACTCCTTTTTATTTTGTGCATTTAAATTTTCCTTCAGCTTGCTCAAATAAAATATCCTACCTTCAGAAGTAGCTGAAAATGCAAACTCTTCTGATAAAGGATGTTTTCTTAACTATGCAAATAAGTCTGTGGTGGTTTGTTCTATTGTCCCTTACATTTACCTATGTAAACAGGCACTCTTGCACTGCTGAACTAGCTGTTTATAGTCTGTGTCTTTGTTCATTGCAGACCTGTCTCTGGGAGTGCCTTCACCCTTCCCTTTGTTTGATTCACATTTACCTATATTTAGATCCATTTTAAGAGATATCTGTATGGAACTTCCTTGACATGCCAGACTGGAGTCATTATTCCTTCTTATAATCCCATTTGAGGAATTATGCTGTTTGGAGCACATTTGCACTTCATTATATCACTTCTTAAATGAGTTAGGTCTTAACCTTTGGGTCTCTTTTGGATCTTCTTTCCTTTCCACACCCACTCCCTTGGTGATCTCACCCAGTTCTAGCCTTTTTATATCATCTATATGCTGATGATTCACAAAATTTTCTCCAGTTTTGACATCTCCCCTGAAAGAAAGACTTGTATAATGAATGTTTTTTACTTAAGATTTCCAGTTGAATGTGTAATAGTTATCTCAGTCCTAACTTGTTCATACTTCTCTAAGAAGTGTGAACTTCTTTACACCCCCACCCCAGATCTAGTCCTTCTGAAATAGTCCACTTTTAAATTAATGGCAAAAGCATCAGCCCAGTACTCATGCCAAAATCCACGAACTCATCTGGAGTCCTTTGCTTTAACAAATCAATATCTGATGTGTAATATAATCCCTTTATGTTTATTTATTATCATCATATATTCATATAATTCTAGTTCTATTTCAGTGTAATCCCATTAAGACCAGCTCACCCCCCTCATATATTACTCCTCCAGGAGCTGTAGTCCTGGGATTCCTGTTTTATGATATCTGAAAAAGTTGTTTTGTATAATTTGCACTGTTCTCCAGCCACTAATTTCAGGAAGAAACATTCAGTTCTGTTATTCTATCTCTAAAAATGGAAGTTTCCTGTGTTTGCAGTCTCTGTTGTTCAATACATTATGTATTTTCTTATTTATTATATTTTTCATCTACCACAATTTGAGCTCTATGAAGGCAAGTGTTTTCTTCCTCTGCTAGAAAAGTTCTTAGCATATAGGAATCATGTAATACATTATTTGGGGGGGGGTGAGTGTGCAGAAAAAGTGGGGTGTAGACCAGAGGCATGGGAGGGCCTGAGAGGATTCACCAGAGACAGAGTGGGGAGAACAGGTGAATTTACTGAAATACACTGGTAAGGGGAGCAGAAGGCAAGACAGGAGCGGTCTGTTGCACCATATGTGGGTTAGCTCCCTGGCCAGGGATAGAACTCAGAAACTCAGGCTTAGCAGAGATAGTGCTGAGACTTAACCCCTAGGCCACCAGGGAGATGCAATACATTATTTGTTGTTGACATTGCTTTCTTCTATGTTGTGGGCAGTGTTGTCATCTGCTTACCTAAGGATCCCCTAAGAGTCCACGAAAGTCCCATGAGCTAGCATCCTTTCTGAATGATCAGTACACAAATAATTTGAATTTTAAATATTAGACATTCACTCCTGATTATATTGTCTTAAATGGGAAGAATAAAATTGTCAAGATTCTGAAAATAAATTGGAAATACTAATTAGCACTTGGCATATTTTGTTATCCCTTATTAACTCAGTTTTTAAAAATATGTTGTTGCTACCTTATCATCAAAATGATTCATTTTCTTGGGCCCTGCTTTAAATATAACTGAAAGTCTTGATCATTTGGTAAAATTATCAGCAACCTCTCTACTTCAGACAGCTATTTTCAGTCATAGTTACTACCACCTCCACCCTCAATACACACACAAAGCTCTCTGCTGAAAACTCCCTCATCTGTCACTCTGGGTTATGAAGCAGCAGCTCTACCAGCCTCTGTCCCTAAGCTGTTTCCTTCAATAAATACAATAATGAAAGATTACTGGAGAATGCATTTCTATATTTATCATTGTTCTTTTCTTGATTATCCTGGGGAAAAGAAGCAGAGAATACCAAGACTTACTTCAACTTAAAAACTTTTGTTGAAGAGAGAAGAGGAACTCCTTGAAGCAGGCCTGAGTTGAAGTGGGATAACTTCATTTTTACTCACCCTGTCTCAAAACAGAACTGCAAAGCACAAGTCTCCTTGATTGTTCTATTAAACCTGTAAGTATGAAATTCATGCCTGGTGGCCATCAATTTATTAGCCTTGTTCCTCTGGCTATAATTTATGAACCTCTGGGAAGAAAAGAATTGATATATATATGCATCAGTAATTTGAGATGGTACCTTCTTCAACATTTGTTTAATTTATTTATGAGAGAGATGGAGTGCTGTGTGGGCAGGCATGTGGAGAGAGAGCCTGACCTCAGAACTGGCCATCCTCATTGTCCTGAACTCCAGCACTGTCCCAAGGGAGCAGTCCCTTCTCAGTAAAAGGAAATATACCCTCCATGGAGGGTTCTCCACACATACCCTCCATAGAAGGCTGTTGAATGACCCTTGTTGGTACATGAGCTTATTCCCTGGGATTCACAGGTCTTAACTCATGATGGTAGTAATAATTTTTATTATTATAAAAATTATAATATTAAAATATGTTTTTATTATTATAGTAATAATAGTAAAAGTTCTACACATGAATTCTTTTAAACTATTCCCAGTCCTCTCCTTGGGTTAATTTCAAAGAAACTCAGTTTTATTCATCTTGTTATATTTTCTTTTTTTTTTAAAGATTTATTTATTTATTTATTTATTTATTTATTTATTTATACAAGCACTGGGTACAGTCAGAAGCGCGGGAGGGTGAGAGAACTCACCAGAGCCAGAGCGGGGAGCAGAGCAGGCAGAAGGACCGAAGTACACTGCTGAGGGGAGCAGCGGGCGGCAGGAGAGGTCTGCGCGCCATGTGGGACCCTCCTCCGGTGGCCGGGGAGCAGCCGGGGATCGAACTGGCGCCGCAGTGGCTGCGGGCAGCTTCGCAACCCAGCGCTCAACCGCTGCGCCACCGGGGAGGCCCATCTTGTTATATTTTCAATGATATTTTATCATTCAGGTAAAACTGTAAAGACCCTTATATGCAATATAGTTTAGAAAACGGCTGACTTTGCTTTTAGGACTGACTCAACTCCAAGACAATTTTATTGATGGCAAATCACATTTATTTAATTCACTTGATGTTCTCTCCTTTGATTTGAATAGTTTCATTTCGGTTGTTCTTTCAGATGTGCCCTTTTTAGCCTGAATTTGATAAACATTGATAAGTTGGTGATTTTTACTGGAATAGTTGTTAGCAGAGTGGAAGGAAGACACTGTTACTTTGAAAAAAATGGCTCAACTCCATTTCTACAGTTGAATCTCATGGTGGGAAAGTATACACAGCTCATATACATTTCTCAGTTAGTCTTTTGTTCATTTATTAATTCACCTGACCCAGAATTCTGACTTTGCACTAATTACTATGCTGGGTGTGGGGATACTAGAGAAGATGCCAGAGTTGTTGCTATTGACTTACTATCTAGTAACGGAGATGTGTATTTGTTCTGTTAGTCATAAGACAATCTCTGAAGATAAACACCATCCTTATAATAATTAATCCTGAAGTCGCAGTGATGACCTCCTCCCACCAACTTTCTATTTCTCCTCCCAGAGACGCCTGTCTTGATCTCCTTGATAATTTTAGCATCCCTTATTGGGGTTAATCACATGCCATCAAAGCACTTGGGTGTTTCTATAAAATACACTGAATTTTAGCACAATTCAAACATTTCATTCAAAAGACTGAATCTCTCATTCTTTTTGTTCCTTCTTCGGTGTCCTCCACAGCACATTGGAAGCCACAGGTCTCCCATCTACACAGCAGCCCCAACATCATTGTAGAAAGCAGCAGTTTAAAATTTGTTGCCTTCTATGGAAGCAATTGAACTTTCTGGAAGTAGCACCTGCAAGTTACTAAATGAGGTGAGAAAATATTCACAGAAGTTTCTGTGGGGGTCCTCCCTAGTGGCACAAGGGGTTAAGAAGCAACCTATGAAGCTGTCTGCAGCCTCTGCAGCATGATTTCAATCCCCTTGCCAGCCAGGGAGCAACCCACATGGTGCAGCAGACCTCTCCTGTCTCGCCTGCTGCTCCCCTCAGCAGTGTACTTCTGTCAATCTGCCTGTTCTGTTCCCCACAGTCTCTGGTGAATCCTCTCATCCCACCCCCCCACACCTCTGGTCTGTACCCCAGCTCTTGTATGCATAAATAAATCTTTAAAAAAAGTTTCTGTGGCCATGACCACCATTTTAAAATAAGTCTTTTGTTCATTCATTTCTGGAATTTTTCCCCCCAATGATTTAATTTCCAAAGCAGACTGTTATATGGTGGTGAATCTAAGTCCTGTCTGACAAATATACAGAGGTAACAGTGGAGAACTGATAGCTCTTCCATTTCTTCTCCAACATCTTTTTCACAGGTAAACCTCATGTAGTGAAAGGATTGCCTCGGTAAAAAGAAGGAGAGCCAGGCCAAGTTTCTAACAGGTGGAAACTTTATTGTGCCCCTGGGTGAGGTTCGCCGACCCCCATGGGGGTCAGAGAAGTTGCACCCGTTGGGGTGGGGGGGGATGTCCTTTTATAGGTGAGGAAAGGTTACGCAGGGAGACTGGGTATGGGTGGAACCAAAGTTGGTGTTTTTGGTGGTTTCTGGTTGATCACTATCAGGTCCTATTTGTGTCGGATGGAGGCTCTGATTGCAGGAGCTGAGGCAAAAGTGTAATTCCTCTCTGCAGTTTCAAGGCTCTGCATTGTGTCCGTGGCCTGGAGCACCGACATTACAGGTAGATTTACATCATTGTAATTCTAATGTACCTTCTGGACCTTTCACACCTTACAAGCCATGTTACAAATTCCTCCTTGCTTCCCTCTCATTGTCTCAATACCACTTTAAATGTGCTTATTCCACCAGACAGCACTGAGTTGGGATAACAGCAGCAGGTAAGCCTTGATCTAGCCAGGACCCATGTGCACTTCTCTCGCAGGCTCTGTTTCCTGTAATACTGCTTTCGTTTTTCTTTAATGAGAGAGAAAAGGTTAGGCAGAATGGTCATTACTACTATTAGGAAACAGATTTTCAAGTTAAAAATAATGAGGCCATGTGATCTGGGTATCTTACCAGTCTGGACAAAACCTTGCAGATATTACCGTAGAGAACAATACCACATTGTGTTAAGGGCTGAATCAGCCCTTTTTTCCCCTGTGCTCACTTCTAAGATTCTATTGTGATGGAAATGTGCTTCAAATGAGATCCAATTGCATCCAAACTTCAAAAGCTATTTCATAACTGTTTTTAATCTGACTATTTAAAAGTATAACCTCAAGATAAGATACTCAATTTATCTCCCTTATAGAAATAGAAATTATTAATAAGAAAAGAACACTTATGCCCACATTCTCCTTATCACATGGAATTGTGAAATTATGTTTCTCCTGGGTGTTTGATATCGAGGGTGCATGTCACCATAATTAAAAATACACACCTACTGCTCTTATTCAAGCTGAAAAAAAATCAATCCAGAAGTTACTTATTGATGGCGTACAATCAAATGTGCAAATAATATGCTTAGGGAACATTAAAGCAGGTCTAATGGGGTAGCAATTCATTTCCTTTTCAATATATATGAAAAGAAACTTTAATAGTGGCTACCTTTAATGCATTCACCATGAAGAATGAAAGTCCACACTAATGTAATTTAAAAATCTAGTGCTGACTGCAAGTTTCAGAGAAAGGTTTAAAAAGGGGTAGCACTTCCCCCAAATATACTGACTAAATATCAGCTCCTGGCAAACATTTGCTTCTCTTGACAGTAACTCATGCTTCTCCCTTGCTAGATTCAGTCTATATTGTTATTATAAGACCAACAAGAACTTTGTTCCCATGTGCTAGTTACCCATCTGCTGAAATCTGGGTGGATTTGTGGGACTTTGAACAGCTTTGGTTCTTTGCCGCTGTGAGTGACTATTTCAAAGCTTGAGTGGCATGGGGATGTGTTAGGGTAAAAGGAGGATTTTTTGAGGTCCTGCAGGCAATTAACCAACTTCTACCTGCTTTCTCCCCTGCAGGTATTCTTTATTTTGCAGCATCCAAAATGGCCATGATACCAAGTAACAACGAGTCCTTCTTTCTTTCTGACAAAATAAAGGTTTGATAGTTACAGAACATTGAAAATAAGGAAAACTACTGAAGATAGAGTAAATATTCATTTTCTAAGTTTTTTATTATCTGTTAATTTTTAAATAAAATATGTATGTATTAAAGTATACAATATATTGTTTTGATATATACACATGGAGAAATGATTATGGCAGTCAAACAAACATGTCTCCATGTATTTTGTGTGTATGTGTGTGCTACTAAGTTTTTAAAATGAAACAGACTAACTTAGGAAATCAACCATCATTCATAAACAAATCATCAAGGCTAAGGCACCTGCCCTGGTAATTGAAGCCTAATATAGAATTTTCAGGAAAGCCATAATTCCTTCATCACCTTTGCCAAGGAGGCTATATCTATTGATATCCAAGCTTGGCTTCCACTTAATTTTTATGAGCTTCCTGTTAATATTATATTTTATCCCAAAATCTTGAGCCCTATTTCTGAGTGATTTTCATCATGTAGCCCAAGATGAATACCCTTGAATTTCACTTTATCAAGGGCTTCATTTTAATGATTGCCTGCTGCACAAATAAAATGAGAGAAGCAGTGAAATTCTCATTATTGATAAAGTTGCATGTGTTTTTGATACGTTATATTTAGTCACTCTCCTTGAAGTTTTCTGTAAATTTTGAATGAGCTAGCTAGCTGGTAGAACTAAATTACAGTCTCCATAAAAAAGTAATTAACAGTGCACTGATATATTTGAATTGCAGGGTCTTGTAAATTGTTTATAGTGGTTTTATCATTGCTCTTCTATTAATGCTTGTGCACTTGGTTTTATAACTGGGTAGTAGTATTTTTGAAGGCAATGTCTAGGCTATTTTTAATTTCTTTGCCTGTCCAAAACCTTGTATGAGTTCAAAACTAGCTCCGTCCTAGTAGAAAGTTTAGGAGTATGGGCTGCTAAAATGCATTAGGACAGGTAGCCTGATATAAATAAATTGCAAAAAAAAGAGCATGCTTAGGAGTAGTTAGGAGAAATCAAATCGGAGGACTTACTGGAACATCTACTCATCGCCATTTATGATTTGTGGATAAGCGTAAAAGAGTTTTTAGGGTCACTAACGTCATAGTCCTTGGTAAATATATATTTCAAAGTTAAGCACGTGTGTATTTTTTGTCACTTACTTTTACTGACTGCCAGATATACCAAAATCTATAATTGTGCTTATAAGCACAATAAATGATATTTATGGGATAAATTGTCAGATATTGGTTGGTAGCAAAAACAGGAGATTTACCTTTCTGTCAAAAAATGATGTTGCTTTTTTTTTTTTTTTTTTTTTTTGCAGAGGAATAATGTGTCCTACAGGATGATATACAATTTGTCTAATAATATTATAAGCAAAGTTCTTTTGGGGCCAAGCCCACTGTACATGATGGATGGAGGTGATGTTCTAAAGATTTGATTATTTTGTCATTTCTTATTTCACAAATATTTTATGACACTTGAAATGGATGGCAGCAAGAATTAAGCATCTTGCTTGCGCTTCCTGGAACTGGTGACCTGTCAGACAGTAAGATAAAAATAAAATCAAGGAAAATAAGACATAGTCTTTCAGATGCTCTAAGACTTTAGTGTCATCTGCAGTCCCTTCCTAAAGATGATATTTAATTTCCTTGATGATGCTCAAGATGATGAGAGGAGAGTGTTGTGCTACCTTGGTGGTTCTCTCTAATTTTCTATGAGAACCCTGAGGCAGACAATTAGTACAGGAAAATTGGAGAACATGAAATGCCTCGTTAATTTCTAATAAAGCAGGTAGGTCCAGTTCCAGGACTCGCAGGCTTGGTGGGGCTCTTAGCTTGGGTTCGTGCAGTTGCCTTCAGCTCATCATGCCGGGCTCCTTCCAGGGTATTACTGCCAAGGTCCCCAAGACTCCTTATTTGGGTTTCAGTGCTTAGAAGTAGCTGAGGACAAGGATGGGATAAAAAGATGAAAGCTACTGTTATTGTGGCACAGGAAAAGAAAGTGTTTCCATTGCTGCTGTCTCTACCTCTCAAGTGGGTGGCCTTGAAGACTGAACCCAAAGTCTCTATAGCAGTAGCAGCTAGTCCTGGTGACATCTTCCCAGCAATATTTTCTTTCTCTGATACCTTCTCTATATTTGGCCCATCTCCAGAAGTAAATTATTGGGTCCTAATTATGCACCAGAATTTGCATGACTCTTAGGGTTTAGGGTTATAGGAGGAAAACAAATCAGCTTAGTATTTAAGGACTCTGGAATCAAACTACTTAAAACACTCAATCACCATCTAGTGTTATGTATATGAGCAAATTGTTATATTTTCTGTACCTCATTTTTCATTTTTTTTTTTTTTAAATATGTATGCGTACAAGAACTGGAGTATAGGCCAGAAGTGTGGAGGTGAGAGGATTCACCAGAGACAGAGCTGGGAACAGAACAGGCAGACTGACTGAAATACACTGCTGAGGGGAGCAGTGGGTGAGACAGGAGAGGTCTGCCGCGCCAAATAGGTCTCCTCCCTGGCCAGGGATGGAACTCGTACTTCAGTGGTTTCAGATAGCTTCATAGGCTGCGACTTAACCCCTTGCACCACCAGGGAGGCTCCTGTACCTCATTTTTCTTAAAAATGTGAATAAGAATAGTATCAACATTAGCAGAATGCAGTGAGTATTAAGAAACAAACATAAAGCACTTGCAAAAGTGTGATTAATTTTTGTTGTCAGATGTTAATAGTATCATTTCAATGAGTGCTACCTCTGCATCAGCACTATAATAAGTACTGGATTATAAAAAAAAATGCATGTGTTTTGGTCTTTGTGTGTTTACCTGGGAAAATCCAGGATCAAATTACTTCTCTATTGAATGAGTTGCTTCCTGATGGGCTATACCTGTAAGACATTCCTTTACCAATGTACTGGTGTCTTGAATTGAGAAAAAATTCTGGCTAGGAAGGGGCCTTCTGTGAATCTGTCTTCTTGGAAAACTTTATCTACTAAGTGAATGAAGGGTTCTGACACTTAACCCCTTGGCCAGACTCCCTTGGCTAGACTATGAAAAGGGCCCTATATTCATGGTGAATTGCCTTTCCCCTAAGCATGACGTCTGGCTTCAGGAAGCTTAAATGGGGGCACTTAGATGCTCAGGTGGATTAAAATATGACAAGGCAATGACATAAACAAGGAAAGCCTCATGAAGAGTGTGGCCTATATGATTGTTCAGCCTGCTGGAGGCTCAATTGTGAAATAATGTTAAAGGGCTTAAAAGCCACCTGATTGCTTAGGCCTATCTTTGGCTTTTATGAACTGTTTCAAGTAGGAATCTTTTTGTCTGTAAGCTCATCTTCCTTCCGGTGTGCTCACAAGGGCCACAGCACCTGCACCTGAGTTCACCGTGAGGCCATGTACTCCCCTGACCCCTCCCCTGACTTAGTATAGACTCTAAATGAAAAGCATTAGGACATCCCTGGGTGAGCAGGTTGGGGCTTTTTTTGTACGTTTTGACACTCCTCCAAGGGCATGTTGACATCATACAATATGCTTACAGCCACTTGTGGAATGATTCCCATCCAGTGTTCAAATTTGTTAACTGAATTCCTTTTCTAGATCTCAGGAAGCATCTACTGTTAGAGTTAGGCTTTTAGACCCCAGGTGTATTTTATTATTTTACTTTTTTTCATTTTGATCTTAATAAAAACAAATTCTAAAGATAAGACTTTCTGTTTTTCACTGATTGTGATTATATCTGTCATCCACAGTACCTTCATAGAATTCATGAAGTAAATATTGAGGAAATTACAGATAGATACAGACAGATAGATAGATAGATAGATAGATAGATAGATAGATAGATAGATAGATAGGACTGTATAATGGGAGCCTACTAAATCCCTCATGATTTATGCCATCTTTTTCTATTGGATAACATTGAGAGTATAAAAGGGAATGAGTCACAAGAGAGAAAAAAATTGCACCATGATTATATTAAACTCAAAATGTCACCATATTGTACTTAGTCACAAAAAGTCCTATTTATATTGTTTATGAAAATTATAAAACTGAAGATAAAGTAAAAAAAATCCTGTTCTTCCACAGAAAATATTTTCTAGTTTTTAAAATATTAAATTCACTCAAGCCATATGAGTGATATGACGAGGAAGCCAGGGGTATACCAGGCTAATTACCTTTTTGGTTTTAGTCCAGCAATGACTTACTACTGCAAGTTATTAGTGAGTTTATTGGACTGCTACATCAATAATTTATTAAAATAAACTGTTTTTTCCCCTTAGTTTTGCCAACGCATCAAGGTTAGAGAGGAATGTACTTAAGACTATAAAATGTTAAATAAAAGATCCTAAGCTTAAGTTTCTAGTTAAAGTAAAGCTAATTTGATTTAAAATTAGCAAAGCTTTAGCTTCACTCTTAGAATTCTTAGCACAATGTGGAATTCTTAGCACTCAATGTGGAAATATCCCATTTTGTTGAGAAAATTTGGTTTGAATTGGGGGGAGATGGGGAAGGTAGGGGGTCATTCTCAGTAGCCGAAATAGCATCAGAGGAGATGGGTCTCTTGTTGATAGCCCTTTTTTTCTAAGTTGGATGCCGTTTCAACATCATTGGCTGATAAACATTTTCTTAATGAACATTGGATCCCCATTTAAAGCTGTTCTTTGTGCTATGTAAAAGTCATCACCGATAATGAGAACCCATCAGTAGAATACGAATCAATGAAAAAGATTTGTAATAGAAAAGTATCACTTCCTTATTCAAAATGGCCACCTTTATTAATATTTTAAGATTCAGCTATATTGCTTCCTTTCTGTGACTTTTTACATGGCTCTTTTTATTCCCAGTGCATTTAGATGGTAGATTCTGTTTAACAAATCATGCTCTTGATTTTGTACTACCCACAGTTTTTGCTTGGAACCTCATGGGGAACAATTTATCCTCCCTAATAAACTAAGAACTACTCAATAGTGGAGAGAAGTAATATCACGTGATGAGTGAAATTGGCTTCAATGAAAGACGAGGCCTCAGAATGGGGAGTGTGACTTAATTT